GAAATGAAAGCTTGATACAGAAAACTGATGTGTTGATATGAAGCCTGCACCACAAAAAAACCCAACAAACAAACAAGAGAAGAAAAAAAAAACAAGCAAAAAAAAAACCCTCACAAAACCTCCAAGCAACTACAACAAAAACATGCAAACCCTTTTCTACAAGAATACTCAGTGTCAAGTCTATGAGGGCACATTGTTGCCTGTTACTGATGTAGAATCAGGGAGCATTTGTTTGTAGCCATGAACTGGGCTGCTCTCAGCTGCTGCAAAGCCCTGCAGCCATGGACACCCTGGAAATGGCATCTTCAGCAAAACCTGGCTTACAAAGGAGTGGCACATAAACCAAGAGCACATTGGAGAAGAACCTTCTTTATTGTAAGCTCTGGAGGAGGAATCCTAGGCTTCTTTCTAATCCTATGAACAAGAAAATAATCTGGAACCCTGAAGGGGTAAACTTGGAAGGAAAGCTGTGAAATAAGGAACTGAATGAAACAGGTGAGTGCAAGAATGCATAGAACTTTGCTACTGGACATAGCCAAGGTTACTTGTAGAGAAATAACCTGTTACTAGCAGCAATATTAAAAGAGCAACACTTGATATAAGCATTTTGAGCAAGTCGGTAGCACTGCTGCAGTCAGGGTAATGTGTGGTTACTGTGGTTGATCACACTTGGAGGCTGATGTAGGCATGGAGATAAAGGTGGCAACTATTCAAGTCAACTTGCAAATACCCCAGAGATAGCTGTGTTACTTCCAGGTCCTACTGTTTATATATAAAGCTGAATTATAAAGCTGTTTATTGCTTACAGTAACATGCATTGCACAGTTGTGGTAAAGTTGATTGCTGGTAGGATTAAGCTAGAAACAACCAGTGTCCTAGAAGTGAATTTTGGACCGTGGCATTCAATGGAGAACTTCCTGAATGTGCATGTGGGAGTGAACAGATCCCAGAGTAACAGGATACAACCTTCCCAAGGTCCTTCTTGACAAAACCCTTTTGCCATTCTACGGGAAAGTGCTATATGTATGTGACATAGTTATAGAGGTAATTAAACAACAGCAAGTAAAATTAATTTTTATTATTTAAATTTTTAAATTATTATTTATTATTACAAAGTAAATTTTGGTTTTTTTTTCCTATTCTTGATCAGAATAGTTTCAAGACTGAGCAGCATTCACACCAAACAGTCCCCAGGCTGCCGGATGCCCTTGCCAGCACTGCCGCAGCTGAGCACAGGTCGGTGTTGCCACCTGGCGGCACACGACAGCGGCACTGCCACTCGGAAATCGGGCTGTCGAGCCAGCAAAGACACACATCGCAACTGATCTCTGAGACACGTTTTATTATTTAAGCTGCTGCTTTCTACAGAATCAAGGTTTTACTGCTCGCCATCCCCACGGTGCGTTCTCACGGTTCCATTTCACCAACACTGAGTTTCTTGGTTGGTGTGACAGCCCCACCTGCTTACCAGGGGGCTCAGAAGGTCCTTGAACACCACTCCTCTTTTTTCAACAGGTGCCTACATAATCGTCTCACTCCCCTTCTAGTTAGCAGCCGTAGCCACTGCTCTTCAGCTGTGGTCTGAGTTACAAACCCGTTGCTAGCCTTGGCCTTGCATGGATTTGGCAGATTCTTGGTGTGTTGAGTTTATTTGTTCTCGTGAATTCAGCAGCCTGCTGGGTTATAGGTCCAGCGTTTGTCAGCTCATACAAAGGGGCTTGTACAGCAACTTGGACTAGAAAGTAATTCCATAGAATATTAAGATTTATTTAAGAAGCTACCCAAACCCAGTTATTCATTTTTATTAGAAAAATGAAAACTGCTACAGTTTAGAAAACGCTGAGTAATCACTGTCCAAAATTTTAAAATCTTATGGAATTACCTGGATAGTATATAAATGTCACTGGATCTGTATCTTATCAGCTCTTTAGATATTTCATCAGTGTTTAAAACATACAAGTGGGTAACAGTGAGCCTGCAATTTCTCTTTTTAAATCTGACAAGGAAACACAATTCTCATCATACAGTATGTTAAGTGCATCTTTCTGAGATGGGCAGAGGAGGCCTGCTAAACTGGGGTGTTTGGAGACCACACATTCAGCTCTGGTGATTATATCTAACAGACTGTAAAATACAGAGTAAGAAACCTGGGAAAACAAGGAGCTAACAGCTAATCTACAATGTTAACAGGACAACTAGCCCCTTCCCGCCCAACACATGAAAAAAAATGTATTTGGTAGAATTTTTCAAATATGCCTACAAAATCTAGTATACAAAGTAAGTACAAAAAAAAGCACTTCCTACTTTTTAAAAACAATTAATTAGATTATCACATGATAACACTGTTGTGTGACTAAGTGATTTTTTTCAGCCACTGCTGTAGTTCCACAAGGAGCACACAGCATAGTCTAAGAGAAGCAGCTAAGAACATCTCTGCAAAGTGTCAAATGTAAATGTGAAGCCACAAGCAAAAAATAGCCAAAGGAGATCTTTCATAAAAGCAGCAGCTCGATTGTTTTGTACAGCATGCAATGTTCCTGTGAATTCCAAGGAAAAAACAAGCTGTGACAAACACTTGAGAGTGTTCTGCATAAACAGAAGCTTCAAGCATTTGAAAGTGGAGAAGGAAAAGCAGATATTAAAAGTGGTTAATGAGCTATTTGCTCTGAGGGTTAAGAACAACCACATTATGGACTGGAATTTTCCCACCTTAGAGACTTTGTCATAGCTAACGGTAAACTTCATTTTCTACAGAGTGCTGCTTGGAAAAGCTATTTGGAGTACTCTTTCAAAACCAGTCACATCACTCTTCTCGATTGCTCTATGAAAAATGTGCTTCCCAAAGCTTTTAAAAATAAGTCATGTGCAAGGGCTACTGCAGATGCTGTGGGCCTTGCTTTTTTGTGGACGATGTAGCACACACAGAAGGTGCTAAATAATTTGGAACAGCACTGTTACTGCTTTGCAGCTGTTTCAGAACATGAGAAAGGAGAGTTTGGAGCTTAGATCGTCTATGATGGGCCATAAAGCAGATACTGAATTTCAGAGTAATCAGGCAGTCATGGAAACATTTCAGACATATGTTACTGCCACTTCATTGGAACCAGTGTATAGATGGAATAGAGGTCTCAGAAGTTTTTCTGAATGCAGTGTATGAGATCTGCAATAACCCATTTGCTCAGCTTAGTTGTTGAGTTATACAAAAAGATTTTGATGATAGTTACTGAGCTTTTCACTGGACTGAAGTAGCATTTTTTGCTCATTCTGCCCACTGGGCTAAGGTTTCATTGCTGCCACTGGACAAAATGCTCATGCTACTGCCTTTGTAAGTAACCACCAGGGAACATGGCTGATTTGGGGCTATGTTTTTTAAGTCTACCAGCTCAAGGACTGTTTTGGGATTCTTTAGCAGTATGAGCAAAATTACAGCTCAGCAGCTGAAAATCTGAATGTCTTGCCTGGACAGTCAGAAATATGTGCATTGCCAGTAACTAAACTGAGTGGCTTCATTATTGCAATTTTCAAAAGAAATATGCAAACTGTGGTGAATTTAAAATCGCTCAGGAAAAAAAAAAGATCCTGTAAGCTATTTTTGCTTTGTGAGCTCCACTGGTACCTCTTAGACCTGCAGATGCTAACAGATGACTTTGTCTCTGGGGCACTTTAGGAAAGCACACTTGCCATTTGCAGCAGGGTTTGGAGCTGCTGGGATGAACCCAAAGCACCGAGGGTAGCAGCCTGAGGGACAGGATGTCAGGCTCTGGTGACATCCCCACCCAGCTCTGGGGTCCCAGCATGGCAGGACGTGTTGGAGCCATTCCAGAGGAGAAGGGCGGGAGGCTGGAGCACCTCTGCTCACTGTGGGGACAGGCTGGGATGGCGCTGCCCCTCAACAGCAGCTCTGGGGACATCTCACTGAAGCCTTTCAGTTCTGCACGGGGCTCACGATGCAGGGAGAGCAACTTTTACATGGACAGATAGCACAAGGGGGAACTCGTTTAAACTACGAGGAGAGATTTGGATTAATTATTAGTAAGAAATTCTTTAATGTGAGGGTGGTGAGGCACTGGCACAGGTTTCCCAGAGAATCTGTGGCTGCCCCCGGATCCCGGTGTGAAAAATGTGTGTATTTTATGATTGGCTTTTCGCAAATATTAAAATGAATATTATATGTGTTGTGTTAGAAAGTAACACTGTATTAATTCTCTTAAGTAGTGTGTTAAATATAGTTTTAGGTTATAAAAAAATGTTAAAAAAGAAACGATGCTGTGTAGGATACATTTTTAAAGAAAGGACTCGCAGCGAGATAACAGCCACAGGACATGTAAATCTTTCAGAGAAAAAGAATTTATTGCTCTCTTATCAGAAGAAACGAACTTCTTGCCGCCTCAAAGGTGCTGTTAGGATGACCAGAAAGAATCCTGTATTTGAATGGAATTTATGCATCGTGTATGAGGTGTATGAATATGCAACAGGTTATTGGTTTTACGGTTTAATCCTTTGTTAACGGGTGTCCTTTTTCGGGCTCGTGCTGCCCAGAAAAAGGTACCTGGACGTCTGTAACTCTTTGTCTTTATTGTCTCATACTGTCCTAATTCAATTTATCCAAATTATTATTACTCTAATTGTATTACTATTTTTATAATCATTTTATTACTATTACACTTTTAAAATTTTAAAAACAAGTGACTGCCGTTTTTCACACCGGGAGGCGTCCAAGGCCAGGTTGGATGGAGCTTGGAGCGACCTGGGATAGTGCAAAATGTCCCTGCCCATGGCCGGTGGGTGGAACAAGATGATCTTTAAAGTCCATCGGACCCCAATGCGGGCTGAGGCTCCGTGCAGCTCTGAGGGAGCCGCGGTGTCATTGGGGCGGGCGGGCCAGCTCAGCAGCACCAGGCCCGCACATCCATGGCGAGACCCGCGCAGTTATCGCGAGAGCCGCGCGGCGCGGGCCGGCCGGAGGGGCGGGGCCGCCCGGTGCGAGGGGCGGTGGGGCCGCCCCCGCCCCCCCGGTGCCCGCCGAGCTCAACATGGAGCCGGGCCCGGGCGAGGAGCCCCGCGCCTCCACGTCCTCCGCCACGGCCGCCGCGCCGGAGCCCGGCCCCGAGGAGGTACCGCTCCGCTCCGGGGGGCCCTGCGGGTGGTGGAGCCTGCCCCGGTCGCCCCCTCCTGCAGCCCCTGCTCGGCCCGCGCCGCCCCGGCCCTGAGGCCGTCCGGGCCCCTCCGCCGCGGCCCGCGGGCGCCCTGCGGGCCGGGCACACCCCCGGCCCCGAGCCTGCTCTGCGGCATCGCCGCGGCCGCCGTTCCCGCCGCCCTGCCGTGCCCGCGGCCCGGCCCTGCAGCCCTGGGGCCCGTACGGAGCCCCTCCAGCCCCGCGGCCTGCGGGGTCCGGCTGCCGGAGCCCCCCGCCCTGTTGTTTCCTTTCCCGCGGCCCGGGGAACGCTGTCCCGGAGCTCCGAGGGCTCGGGGAGGGAATGGCGGGAGGGCGGCCCGGAGAGTTGGCAGGGGTCGGGGCTCTTGCTGCCCCTGCACAGCTCGAATGGTGCCCTGGTGCAGAATACAGCCCTCGAGAGAGCACGTATGGCTGCCAGCCGCCTCTCCTTAGGTTTTTGGAAGAAAGACACAGGCATGTAGAAAGTGACGTATTCAGGTATCCTTGGAAACAGAACAAGGTTTAACCCGACGAATGAATCTTAGAAAAAACTTAATGGAATGAGGACCGTACATCATATATTTATGTTACTGGAAAAAATTGTGGAACTAATGATAAGAGTACATTCAGGTGTTTTGTCTCAGTTACTGACAGTCCATTTTCTGTAAAGAATGTTTGAAGCTTTATTTTATTATTATGTATACAAACAGTTATGGGACACTTTACTTGGTTGCTCAAGAGCAAATGTTTAAAGGCTATTTCTTTATTTTATGCAACTTACTCTGCAAAATTTTATGCATGTCAACTGTACAGTCACAGCATCTGCATAACAGCGGCAGTCGTGCAACCTGTTGTGCTCTGCTCCCCTGTCAGTGTTTTACTTCATAAATAGTCTTTGTTGTAATACCAAAACTGCCTTACTGGCTGTTTGGAAATGTATTTCCACCTTGTATATGTGAGTTGAACACAGAAGGAATCTTAATTATTCTTAGTGCATCTTTTCAGAGTTTTCAGTAGCACAAGTTGCAAGGGTAAAGTCAGCTAAAGCAGCAGCAGTTCTTGTTCCCAGTTGTTTATTTAGGTGTTCATGGGGCCTCCTCACTTTGGCACTGTTAAACTTTCTGGATAGAAATCTCTCAGCCTGAATTTGGGAACTCTGTTTAGGGTAGTTTAATATTGGAGATTTTAAGGGGAGTATTTTGTATCTTTGGAATACTCAGGATCCTTTGAAAGTGCTGTGTGGATGTTGTAAGGTGTTTAAATGACAGCAGTTTTCAGGGGACTGTCAAATCTATAATGGAAATAGATCCTAGAGTAGAGACAAATTGTTACTGATGAGTTTCCTGAGCTAAAAATGAAACTACTTTTGTTGTGGTAAATTGCACTGAGGCTTCTGCTGTCCTGGTTCCTGACAGGTCAGCCCTCTATGTGATGACGATGTGTTGTGTAAAGTTTCTAGGGAAAAACTCAGACCTTGTGAAATATTTTATGTTTCTGTGTTGTATAAAGCTACATGGTCCAGTTGTTAGGGGGGTGTATTGTTACTCATACCAAAATTTAGTAATTGTCAAAGTGTAGAGTTTTGTAATTCAGAGCATTATGCAGAAGCAAGTCTGGCTATGATGCCTGTCCATCAATATTCAGCAGAAACACTGCAATAAGAAGGTGGGGGGAGGCAGGGACAGTGTTTTCTCTTTAAGGGCAAGGTGTACACTGGGATTTTATTGTGCTGTGGCTGCAGCAATAGGTCAGCTCATTTACTGTTCTAACTCAGAGTGTGTTATTCAGAATAAATCAGAATGTATCCAGAATATATCTTTCAGAATAAATTTGATTTGTATGCCACCATAAGTTTTATCCTTCTGGGATAATCTGAGTAAGAACAGAACTGACATTGCAGCTGTCTGCCTTGGGGCTTAGAAAAATAATATTGCACTGCAATTTACTTGGAAAACTTTGTTTTAAGGGATTCTCATAATATTGAGTTGTTCTGCTTGAAGAAACTTCATTCTTACATGAGGTAGACAGACAGCTTTTTTCCAGTAACACAAAATCTATCTAATTTATTTCTAGGGCAGGTGGGGGAGATGCCTGAAATGGCCTATTGTCAATTTGTTTTCTTTTAAGGAATAATTTAACACTTCACTTGAAGGACTGGACCTGATATTAGCAATGTCAGTCTCTCTTTTTGGAGTGTGTGTTGTTTAGTGATGTAATGGAGATGTGAATATCCACATCTGTATCACCTCTCTTTGGCATGTTGGAGTAACTTTGCTTTCTGAGATGAGCTGATTATCTGTGTGACTGAAGAATATTTAAGTGAATAGAATATTTCTAATATTTCTAAATTACCTATTTGCAACATTTGGCCTTGCACAGGTGAGCTGGAGCATTTATAAAATCATTAAGCTGTCAAGCAGCTTCATTATACACTAAGAACTGTTCACCTCTGCAGAGAATTATGGCTTTGGGCCAAACTTGAAAGAGGAATCTCTGACTTCAGAAAATATTCCTCCCGTTTGCATGGTTGTGCTTAAAGAAGAAGCTGGCATGTGTATTTATCAGTAACACTTCTGAAATTTAAATGCAATGTTGCTTGACAGATTTTTAAATATTTGGTACCATTTTGGCCTGGTTTTGCTACTGGACGCTGAATAGTTTAGAGTAATTATTATTTTAATGTATTTAATAGTAGTCTGATAGTTAAAGCAGATTTATGCTCTGCACTGTTATATTTTATGCAGACATGCACTCTTGCAGCTCCTTCCAGTTTATTCAGAGCTTCTCAAAAACATTTTTAGAATTTAAAGCATGTCAAAACAGGTTTATTTTTTATTGGCATATTTCAAAGACCAATTAGGAAAGTTTTCCTTAATTAGGAGGGGAAAAAATCTACCACTTCATCATTTTACCAATATAGTTGTGGAAAAGCTGCTTTGAGCTTCTCAATTGAAGACAGGCATGAATCTCATAAACTACAAAAGTTACATTTTAGTTACAATTTCATAGATTTCTTTCATGTATAGTAAATGAAGTGGTTCTGCTGTCTGAGAGTGTACCATGGAGTTGTTGCTGCCTGGATTGAATTGGTTGGTTGTGTATCTTCCTAGGTTTATGGTTTAGTGTAGTTAAGCTGTGTTTCCAATTGAACTTGTGACAATTCATCTAGAAGTGGAAACAGACAAAACTCAACCAAAATGCAAGTGTCAGCAACTTAAAATTAGGAATCTGACATTTAGAAACCAAAACTTTTAAGTTTTTTAAAATATCTTTTCAAGATATTAAACTTTATGCATTTACAGTGAGATCCCTGTGAAAGATTAAACTTCATGCTGTTTCAGTAATTTCTTTCAATTTGGATCCTGTGTGTAGGATAAATATGGGCTCTTTAGTTTCATTCTGGACATGAAGTTTTGCTTTAGGTGAAATGATATGATTAATGCACTCATTTAATTTTAAAATAATTATTTTTAAAAAGTAGCATGCTTGCCTTGCAGATTGTAGGTTTGTTCAGTTTGATACATTTTGCTAAAAAAGTAAATAAACTGGTATTTATAAAATGTTTAACTTTTGAATTCCAGAAAAATGATCCCCCATTCCAACTCAAACTTCCTCCAAAGGCAGCTAGACCTGAAAAAGAAGTTGACCCAGAATATGAAGAGAAGATGGTAAGTGCTTTCATGAGAAAATGTCCTGCAGCTTTTTATGGCACTTGGTTGTTGGAGCAGGATCTGCCCAGTTACAGGGAGTTACTGCAGCCTGGATGTGTCAGAAAATAACCAAATCAAGATTAATTTCGATGTCCATGTCGTGTCTCTCACAGTGAGGGACACATGTCAGGTAGTGGTGGTTCTGTTAAATACTGTCCCATTCTTCCAACTGCTTTTGTCTGCATGGTTTTTGGAGTTGTACCCTGTGGTTTTTATACTCAGTAGTTGTCAGTGGATTTTTGGTTTTGTGGTTTCTTTTTTAGTTATCCACACCCATCTGTGGTAAGGAGTTACTGTTCAATGACATTTTATATTTACAGCTCTCCCCATTTAGTTTTGAATTGTCTCTGCCAGTTTTATTTGGTGACTCCTTGGGTCATGTCAGAGGCATCCTTAAGCTGCTTCTTACTTAATTGAAACACTGAAGCTGCCAGTTTGTCTCATCTAAAAACAAGGCTTTAAATATTTCAATGCCCCATAATATGTGTGCCATAACAATGCAAAAGAGGATTTGTCCATGACACCAATGCTGGGAGCTTGTAATGCTGGAGAGGAGATGTAACAGGGTAACTTCTGTGGTACAAAGAGGCAAAAACCTGCAGGACACCCTGGATGACATTTGTAGTAAGTTCCTGGTTTAAGCTGGTACCTCTGTCTTGCATTGTTTTTAAAGGCTTTAATGTTAAATGGATGCAAAATAATTACAGTAGAGTCTGAAAGGACTGGATATTTCAGAAGTCAGGGAAGAATACAACTGTTAGACATAGAAAAATTGATACCTACATATATGAACACCTAATTGATAGCTGAAGAGCCACAGTGAATCTGTTCCTTGAGAATGAATTGAGTAAACAGCTAAACTTGTTTCACAGTAATCCATGACTTTACAACTTCCCTAAATTACAGTGTTAGTTCAGTTTTCTTAAGGCAAAGGGATTAGATACCAAAAAAATGTACCTTTTATCAATTATGCAGTTGTGAGCTAGAACTTTACTGTTTTATCAAGACATACTGTTTATACTAAGCCTATGATATTGCAGGCAGAAAATTATCTTGTTTCATCCAACATAGGTTCTTACCAACAGTGATTATTTTTCCAAAACCATCATGTGTTATTTGTTAACTACGAATCCTCTGAATGGATTTGTTTTAATACTGATGATCATAAACATCAATGCCTCTACTTCCCCCTTCTATAATTTCTTTTTCATAAAGGTTTTACTTGATATTTACATCGTATTCGGTTCTCAAGTTATTTGCAGAAACGATCCGATAATAAAAAGCAGTAATTTTCCCCCGCAGATCTCGGTAAAGCTGTTCCTGTGGTGCTGTTAAGGAAACGCGGTGCCCTCGTGTGGCACCATCGTGCATTGCACGCCCGGAGCGCTCTGCTGCCCTCTGGGCGGCGATCCTGCTGCTGTTGATTCTTGCTTGTTGTGAGCCACCTGCAGAAAGGCGTTCTGGGGGTCGGGTGTTCCTTGGAAACGATGCAGAACTACGGATTCACTTCTGTCTTTGTCTGATATCATGGGATGTGAATGAGATCACAGGGACGTGAAGAGCCACAGGCACACTGCAGCTGCAAAAGGCATCCCAAGGGCAACACAAAACTGCCACAATGTAGCTTCCTCCACAGCTTTTTCCTTGGAACCTGCATTCTCTCAGATAGAATTTGCATTTTTTTTCATACTTTTCTTTAAAATGATGTAACATGTTACCTTCTAAGTAAAAGGAAGACCATGTTTTTCCTGCATGACATAGTAAATAAAGTGCGTGTGCCCCATTGAGATGGCAAAACTGAAATGCTCAAAATTTGAAATCTGACAGCAAAATTCACAAACTTGAGTGAAAGCAGTTCAACCATTACTTCAGAAATAGTTCTAAAAGCAGAGCTACTACATTGTTGTTTTTGATCAAATCCTGTTAGCCTTGAAGCTGATGAAAGTTCTGCCACTGATGAGCAAGGTTAGGATTTCATCCCTTACTGCAAGTCATAACTTTAGTTTTGTCATTATCTTTTGTAGGCAAAGATTAAAGCATCCCTTCACCATTGCTGGTGTGCCATGAAGCAGCTCCAGCTCTGTTTCACAATGCTTGTAGCCCTCTGAGCTGTCTGACAGATGGTCTTGTCAGTCTTTCCTCATACAAGTTGTTCTCATGAGTGTCTGAATTCTGTTTTGTAACAAAAATACACTTTTATGAAGAAAAGTTATTTATTTTTCTTTTTTTCTTTTTTTATTCTCTTCTCCACTTTGGAAACTAGAAAGCAGATCGAGCAAAAAGGTTTGAATTCCTCCTGAAGCAGACAGAACTTTTTGCACATTTCATTCAACCTGCAGCACAAAAATCACCAACGTCTCCACTGAAAGTCAAGCTGGGTCGGCCACGGATGAAGAAAGATGAAAAACAGAGTTTGATTTCAGCTGGGGAGTATGTTTTATTTTTATTTCTGGCTTCTTACATGTTCAAACAACTTAGACTTTTAATATAATTTGTGTAGAGATTGTACATAGAAATTGTACTTTCAGTAAATCCAGACAATTTCCTATTAGTGGGGTATCAATTTCTTTAAAAGCTGGTTGGTTTGAAAGCATCATCTGCTCCATCAACGTAAGTGTGACCTTGGATCAGAAAGGCACTTTTAAAGCAAGTTTCCTGATTCTTGCCATGTAAAATGCTTTGGTCTGTATTGTGGGGTGACTTTGGAAAACACAAATTGAATTTCTTTTGCATGATGCTGAAGGGGCATCAGAAATCCACCTGATGTGACCCAGCTGGTTGTGCACCAGTCAGTGGGAGCAGGGTGGGGCTAGACCAGGTTGTGACAAAGCAGTGCCCATGTAGTGGGGATGTTGGATCCTCAGCCCCAGCTGGCTCTCCCCACTGCTCTGTCTGTGTTAGTATTGCAGCAGAGCCTGCCTGTAGTGCCTCTGAGAGGTTTTGAAATAACAAGCAACTGGTTTTTTTAATGTTTCAAAATTACATTCTATTTTAGAAATTTTGATTTTTTAAAAATGCGAATATGTGATTTTTCTGAACTTTGTCATTATCAGATAATGGAGTCTAAGGCCACCACTGATGTATCTTGTATGTCCATGTTGCTCATTAAAAAGTGCCTCAGAGAACTCACAATATTGTCAGATTATAGCTGTGGCTCTGAAAGAGAGGGCTTCATATCAGCCTTTCTGATTAAAGCTGGAATGACTCCTGAGGAGTAACATTTTAACAGGATGGGTCAGGATACCAGAACCCTGCCAGTGTGGGTCAGTGATTGTTTCTGTTGTGAGCTGGAGTTTGTAGCAGTGTTTTGAAGTGGTTTGTTCACACATCAGCGTTGGGCTCTTTGTTCAGGTACCGCCACAGGCGCACGGAGCAGGAGGAGGATGAGGAGCTCTTGTCCGAGAGCCGGAAAAGCTCCAACGTGTGCATTCGGTTTGAGGAGTCCCCTTCATGTAAGCATGGTTAACACTTCTCTGATTTGATGTAACAAAACTCTGAGCAGATTGCACTTGAAATGTTCTACTTTGAATTAGTATTTTTCTACTTAAAGGAATCTTGCATTTACAGATGTGAAAGGAGGAACACTAAGAGATTATCAGGTTAGAGGTTTGAACTGGATGATCTCATTGTATGAAAATGGAGTTAATGGCATTCTGGCAGACGAAATGGTAAGCAGTAATCTTCTGGATTTTTTGGTAGTAATTATTGAACAAAATACAACATTGAAGTGCTTATAGTATTTCATGTACATGCAGTAGTATGTTTCATTCTCCAGCAGTCTGGTTTTTCAAATTTGAAATTGTAATGAAAGAAATTCCATTGCAAACATTTTTTGTGTAGTTTGCTTTAAACAAATGGCAGAATTATATAGTAAGAAAATGGTTTGAAAGTATTTCTTTATGTTATTTCACTTCAGCAAGTTTCTTTCCCCCCTCTTTGTCCATGCAGGGGCTTGGTAAGACTCTACAGACAATAGCTTTATTAGGCTATCTGAAGCATTACAGAAACATTCCTGGGCCACACATGGTTCTAGTTCCAAAATCAACTTTGCATAACTGGATGAATGAATTCAAGCGCTGGGTTCCATCCTTACGTGCTGTTTGCCTTATTGGAGATAAAGATGCCAGAGTAAGTGCTTCACATTTCAGAAATTTATGCATTATTTGGCAAAAAATATCAGTTGGGTACTTGGAATTCTCCCTAAGCTATTTCCTTAATTACAGTATATTTTAGTAATCTTTACTGCATTAATGTTGAAAAGGCAAAATGTTATGCTTGTGACTAGGAGGGAAAACTGAAAATCAGTAGATTAAATAATAGACTAGGGTCTGAGTACAGCCCTTTGAGTTGTCTGTTTTTCTGTTGTCTTTCTCTTTGACTTTTGCACCTATTTTTTATCTCTCTTCCATATTTGTAATGTGACAGTGTGTACTCATTTTTCTTTATTGCACTCACTTTGTTACCTCTTCCTTCACCTTTTTTCAGGTGACTTTTCCCACTCTTGTATTTTATAAGCCTGCCTGGCCTTGTAACTAGGATTGTGCTGTAGAGCTTTTCATCTTTCATTGTGAAGGCCTTAAAATAGATATAGAATGTTTTTCTAACTGAAGGGGATGAACAAGCTGGATGTTTCTGTGAATTCTGTAGCTGCTCATATGGATTGCATGGCTGCCTGTTACTGCTTGAGGGTGGAAAGGTTCTAGGAAGGGAATAGGAGCTGGCAGTGTGGCCAGGAAGGCCAGTGGCATCCTGGCTTGTACCAGCCATGGTGTGGCCAGCAGGACCAGGGCAGTGACTGTCCCCTTGTACTGAGGGGCTGGAGTGTGTTCAGAGGAGGGAACAGAGCTTAGGAGGAGCAGCTGAGGGAACTTGTTTTTGTAGGTGATAGGACAAGAGGAAATGGCCTCACTCAGGTGCACCAGGCCTATGGGATGGTGTTTTTTGATGTGAAAGGACCTTGCACAACAGAGATGGGACAGAGGGGGGAGCTATCTGGGGAAGAGAGGAGATAGTTGGGAATGGACTATGTAAGTTGGTTTGATACACTTCTGTGATTGTATCTTTGGACAAGTTAATTCAGAAGGGTTTTTTCCCCTTTTGGTTGTATATACTCTATTTGAATTACAGAGAAATGATGCTGAAGAGCTAATAGCTAATTTTGAGTAGGAGCTAATTTGTGTTTTGCTTAACTCCAGCTTTCTCTGTGCTTGAAGTACAAAGGATTGAAGGCTTTTTTTACAGTAACTCTCAGTTACTGAGAAGATGTTTCAGATGAATTTTGTGTGCTAGTTTAGAGCATCAGTGATGGTGATGGAGACAGCTTTCCCTGAATGCCATAAAATTTGTTCATATTTATAAATGCTTACTAATCCAGTTCTTCTGCTCTAGGCTGCATTTATCCGTGATGTTATGATGCCTGGTGAATGGGATGTTTGTGTTACATCATATGAAATGGTAATTAAAGAGAAATCAGTCTTCAAGAAATTTAACTGGAGGTACCTGGTAATTGATGAAGCCCACAGAATAAAGAATGAGAAGTCTAAGGTAAATTTGAAATTGTTTCATACTTGAGAGTTAGTTTGCAAAAAAAAAGATGCATTTGATTTGAGCAGATTTGAAGTGTTAGCTGTGGTGTTTTTTTAAAATAAAAGCAATAAGCTATTGGGTGGTAAATGTGAATTTCATAGGTAGCTCACTGTCTCTAAGTTTAATTGACATTGTTTTAGGTTTCAAAAACCGATTGCCTGTGCTGTAGTGTAGATGGTGTTGATAACTGCGTTGTGTTTCCAGTTGTCAGAGATTGTGCGTGAGTTCAAGACAACAAATCGATTGCTGCTTACAGGAACTCCTTTACAGAATAACCTCCATGAGCTGTGGGCATTACTCAATTTCCTTTTACCTGATGTCTTCAATTCTGCAGATGTAAGTTGATGTTTGGAAGTACAGTGTTATTATTTTGATTTCCAGGCTGCTGTCAGTAGAAGAATGACCAGCCTAGTAGGAGATGGACATTGTGCATGACCCAGGTTCAGGGAAAGCTCTGTGGCTTACTGTAGACTGCTTTTCTTACTCTACCTAGTTGAAACAGTGCATTCTGCTGGTGTGGATGAGGCCTCAGACCATTAACAGCAAATGCAATATCTTAAATAGATCAAGAATTATGCAGAATTTGAGAAAGCAGTGAAGTAGCAAGAATATGAAGCATCCAAATAGACATAAGCCTTTTTTTAAAATTTAGAACTTGAATAATCTTTCTTCTCTTTTACTGTTAATGTTTCTTTGTGCTTGTATTACTTGATTGTTATTTTTGCTCTGCTGTCCATCTCATTTTCTTAAGGATTTAAGTTGGTGTTTTTTTAACTTTTTGGCCCATCATCACATGAGCACTGAAGGGAAGCACTTAGACACTGCAGTGATGAGCATGGAAAGTTGTTTTATATTAAGCAGAGTATAATGGTGTTTTGTCTGCAGTGTGATGCACTTGACTCAAATGTTACAACGTACTAGGGAGATGGCACAGAATTGCAGACTGGTTTTTCTTTCACAGACGTAATTTGTCTCAAGATTTATGCCACTCTTGGCTGGAATGAAAGAGAGTCAATATGTGTCTGTTAAAAGTGCAAATGATAAACTGTTCTTACCAATTGTGCTGTTTCTCATCACAGGATTTTGACTCATGGTTTGACACTAAAAATTGCCTTGGTGATCAGAAACTTGTAGAAAGACTTCATGCTGTAAGTAATTAAAGCTGTAATCACGTGTCATCATTAGCATGCACACTGTAAAGAAGAAAACCAGATTAGTTTCCCCTTCATCTCAAAGTTGAAAAAATGAACATGAAGGTTTTTAGTTACAGGAATGCCTATCAGAATTTTCATTAATTAAGCTTCCTGTCATAGGTACTACTGTTTGTGTGTTACTGTTTGAAGTAGACAAAATCTGAACATAAGATGTGGAAATGAAGAATTTTGAGATCTTTTTGAAACCATTTATTATTGTGAATAGTACACTGATACATGTCATGCTAATCTGAATAAAGGCATGCCTTTACCTTTGTTTTACTGTGTGTGAGATAAGACATTTTTTGCAGTAGCAAAAGAGGTCAGAGAGCCTACAACATGCATTGCTTATACTTGAAATGTTGGTGTGTTTTGTCCCTGCTAGTGGAAATGAAGCAGGGCTTATATTAAAAAGGATTAAATTTTATAAACTTAAGAGTTTTGCCCCTTCTTAAGATAACAACTGGGATGATTCTGGCAATCCTTATATAGGGATACACATATTTATGTGTGAGTTTAGTCATTGCTGGACAACGTTTTGCAGAATTTTTCATGGAGTCACCATGACAGCAATAGATCCTGATTAGTTCTGGATAAATATCAGATAATTGAATCTGTTAGTGTATTTGTAGCAGTCAGTTTTATACATTTATCTATGTAAAGCATCTTAATTTGTGTAGGTTTTGAAGCCATTTCTCTTACGTCGCATAAAAGGTGAAGTAGAAAAGAGTTTGCCTCCAAAGAAAGAAGTGAAAATTTATCTTGGGCTCAGCAAAATGCAGAGAGAATGGTGAGTTATTTACATCAAAGTAAGATTCTTTTCTGATAAACACTATAGCTCTTCACACTGATACTTTTTTCCTTACATTTGCATGTTGAGACAGTCAGAGAAACTTATTTATAGCTGTTTTAGGGCTTTTGTAAAAAATGCACAAGTTTCAGAGAGCTCAGGAAGGGTAATGAAAAGAGCTGGGAGGAAAAAAGGAGAAAATTTTTTCCTTCCTTGAGTTTATGTGAAAGAACAAATGCCTCCTAAGCTCCCTCTTTTGATCCAAGTATTTATGCACCAAGATGTCTTAACCTGAAATTAGAAAACCTTGAGGAGCTACATACCCAGAAGAGATATGAGACAAGGAGCCAGGTCAGTGTAGCAGTTTCTGTCAAATAAGTGATATTTTTAATCCACTATGTACTACTAAAATGGAAGTGTAAAATAATCCAGGGCAGATCATTGTCACTCGCAGAGAGATTCCCTTTCGTATTTAGATATGAATTTAGAAATCCTTATTATCAGTCAGATGTTTCTTAGTGATGTAACTCATTGTTACATAAACAAAGCCAACTCCCACATAAACAAGAATGGTGATATTACAGGGTTTAATTCATTCATTGAATTAAAAACCAGAAAGTTGTTTAAAACTGCCCTTCAAACCTCAGGTACACCAGGATCCTGATGAAAGACATTGATATCCTGAATTCAGCTGGCAAGATGGATAAGATGCGCCTGCTGAATATTCTGATGCAGCTGCGGAAGTGCTGTAACCATCCTTACCTGTTTGATGGTGCTGAGCCTGGCCCTCCTTACACCACTGACACTCATCTCATCACCAACAGTGGGAAAATGTTAGTTCTGGATAAGCTGCTGGCAAAACTCAGAGAGCAGGGTGAGTACTGTTTGTGGACAGCAGTGATCTGAATGCTCCTTCTAAGTTAAAGTCTCTCTCAAAACCAGCACAGGTTTAGCCTCTCCTGCAGTGAATGTATTCATCACTTTCTCTGAGGTTTTTTTTGAAAATTAGTTTTCTGTAGATCTTAACACATGAAGGGAAAGAATTTTAATGGGAATGATGAGTAAGACTAAAAAGATGGAGAAGCAGAAGGAAAGGAAGAGTAGAGCCTCCCTTCTCCTTTCTGTAAGACAATTCATGATGATAGGATTATTTCATCTATGTGCATCAGTCAGCACCAGATTTCCTTACAATGGATTTAAGTGTTCTGCTTCTTTGGTTGTATATTTCTCCTCTATAATTTATCAAGTAATATTCTTGAGTGTTTTAATCACTACCAGAAAAATAACTTGAGAAGAAAGATTTATTTAATTTAGGCATAGTACAGAATATTTCACATAAATTCTCAGTCATGCTCTCTAGTAGCTCTGTGATAAGATCAATGTGAAAACATGAAATGAATGTCAAAACCCTGTGTGTTCTGTCAGGTTCCAGAGTTCTGCTGTTCAGTCAGATGACTCGTTTGCTGGATATTTTGGAAGACTATTGCATGTGGCGTGGTTATGAGTACTGCAGGCTTGATGGGCAGACACCACATGAGGAAAGAGAGGTGGGAAAGTTGTATGCAAACAAGAAAAACCTTTGTGTTAGGTTAATAAGTTATTATTTATATATATCTATGTAGACACATCATTGTTTAAAGTAAAGCAGAAATGCTACAGTTTTTAAAAGGCTGCTAAGGGAATGTTTTTCCTAGCCTAAGTCCACAGTATGTTTCATTTGATCCTCTGCTAAGTGAAAAATACAGTATATTGTGGAGTCAGTACAGGTTTTTTCACCTGTTCAGACATACATTTCTTACTTTGATAAAATTCTTTTTTATATGAGAATGGTGTAAATTTAAAATAAATTTATTTGGAAAGCCACCAACATACTGGAAACTTGTTTGAAAGATCTGATACTTTAGTGACACCTTTTTTTTTTTTTTTCTCTCAGGAAGCAATTGACACATTTAATGCTCCTAACAGCAGTAAATTCATTTTCATGCTGAGTACCAGAGCTGGAGGTCTTGGAATTAATTTGGCAACTGCTGATGTGGTTATTCTTTATGATTCAGATTGGAACCCTCAAGTAGATCTGCAAGCCATGGTGAGTTAACTCCCTAATACACATTTGTTTGTTTAAGCTGTCAGTGTTCTATTTTGTATAACTATTTTCAGAACTTGCACTTTTGTTATTTTTCTTTACTTTTTGTTCACATAAGACAATACCAAAAACCAAAGGAGTTGAATAAAAGGGCATGAACGGAAATTGTAGCTTTTTGTCTGTAAATATTTGTCTTAATTATTTTCATAATGAGAGATTACTTCTATCAAAATACTGTGTCAATATTGTTAATAGAAGTATAGAATTATTCTTAATTCTGTCTTTTCAGAAGAGAACAGTCAATAATAGAGGACTGTTTCCAAAATAATAACAGATAACTAAAAGCATGCAGCCTTATTTTTGTCATTTTGGAAGTTTAAGGTTTTACTTTTTGTTTTTGCATAGGCCTAAAGGCATTTGGTGGTGATGCTGGGAGGAGGAAGTTACCTTTGGGTTAAACCTACTCCAATCTTCTCTTTCTCAGTGCTGAATGTAAAAAAAATAGAGTCTGTAATTTGTTTAATGTGGAATAAAACTCATGTGAGCCTTCTTGCATGATTAGTAGGGCAGGTATTTGTTCAGTGGTTTGTAATTTTTAATTTTCTTTTAATGCACTTCAGCACATCAAATATTTAATATCAATAGCTCATCCTTTAGATATGCATGTTGGCTGCCAATAGTTGACCAACTTCCTGGAGACTGTGTGATTTGTGAACTTCAGTAGGGTTTTCAGGAAGAAATGAATATTATGAAGGAGAGTAAAAGATTTAACACCTCATGTTTAAAGAGAAAATCCTGGTACCCTTAAAACAGCTTGAAGGACAGCTGTTTTAACTTTTTTTGATTTAAAAGGACATGTTTTCTAGAGAGGATAAACACAAGTTTTGTTACAAATGAGTGTAGTGTGTGAGTCATAAACCTTGTTTGCTTGGCTTACAAGCACAGTGTTGGAGCTGTGGCTTCAGGAGCTCTGCACATGGAATTAATGTGCTCAGGCCAGGGATGCAGAATGTCAATACCTGTGTCAAGTGACAGAATTCACTGAAAGCAATACAAGTGTATGCATGTATGTACTGTTGTGTGTCCACTTCCCAGCTGCAGTCTGGACAGACATTCACTTGTCTTCATTTACAATGAGGGAGATGCATTTATTGCTATGGAATGACTCAAAAATGTAATAGCCAGGTATAAGTAAGTAGCAGAATACTGGTTTTACAGTGATCTGTGCTTTTGAATAGGCAAGGGACCAAGAAGTGCAATGCTGGTTTGAGGCTGCTATTTCTGCAAGCTAACTGTCTATTGCCTGTGAGTTCTTGTTGCTGAACACTCATTGATTTATGTTTGTTAGGATCGTGCGCATCGTATTGGTCAAAAGAAACCAGTACGGGTGTTCCGACTTATCACTGATAATACTGTTGAAGAGAGGATTGTAGAAAGAGCTGAAATAAAACTGAGACTGGACTCTATAGTTATACAACAAGGTATCAACTGCTATATATGTTTGTCTGCAACAGAATTGTTCAGTCCCTTAAAATATGGTTAAATAACTGTACAAATGTACAGTGTTAGAGAAAGCAGGCCTTGTGTATAATAGCAGTGTACTAAATCAACCTGATGTGCAAGGTATTCACCTGTTCAGCTGAATTATTTTAAAATTCTGATTAATATAGACATAGACTTAGAGTGAGTCTAAATGAGGAAAGTAAACTACAGCTGAATAGATGTTACTTAGTTTTGTGATATGATAGAAAGAAAAAAATCAGGTATGTTCCATGGCAGTTGAAATAATGATATGATTCTTATCACAGAAGAGTTGACTGAAAAAAATAAAACACCTTTGTGTATTTTTGTTTGGAAGCACTTAGAGGAATAGTTTGTCAAAACTAAGGTACTCAAGCTAAGTTTTTAAGGTTGTTTGTATTTACTACAGGGTGGGCTACTGAAAGGATGATGGTCAAAATTTTGATAGCATGAGAAGAGATAGGATAAGAGAAGTTTTGGGACAGCAATTAAATTTTGGGAAGAATAATTAGAAAATTGGGTTGAAATCAGTGATGTGAATGTTGAAAATGTCAAGCACTTCTTAGTGGTTATTATAGAATACTTCTTAATTTTTCATCTTGAGATAAGATTGTGACCTTAAAAGTTCAGCTAACTTTGTAAGAATAAGATCTTAAATGTAAAATTCAGATTATATGAATGTGAAATGTTTTTTGTTATGGCTTGAGTCAAAGTTGTTTTTTTTAGTTTTCCCCAAAGTTCCAGACTTCTGTTAATTCTCATCTTGAGCGAAATGTATTTTTTCTGTATGGTTGTTCTGTTTTTCCTTTCTTGTTCTGTCAGTGAAGTAAAAAAATGCACTGCTTGCATGGTCCTACTAGAACTCCCACATTATAACTTGCAACATATTCCTTGTGATTGTAGGAAGGCTCATAGACCAGCAGTCCAACAAACTGGCAAAAGATGAAATGCTGCAGATGATCCGGCACGGAGCCACGCACGTGTTTGCTTCCAAAGACAGCGAGCTGACAGAAGAAGATATAACCACTATCTTGGAAAGAGGTGAAAAGAAGGTTAGAGAACCTTTTAATATGGAATTCAAAATATCTATGCACAAAATGGAATGAGATCTGATTATGTAAATTTATTGTTACTTTACTATTTGTGCAGATTTTAAATATTATGAAAGTTTTGAAGTAGAATTAGTGATTGTAATTATTTTCAAGGTTCATGCTGTGTGCATCCTGTCTTAAGCACTGCTTATTTTGTGGTCTTTTAGTAAAATGTAAATTTAATGCCAATAATTGTGACAGACACAAAGTCCTTATGGAACTTCATTAGGTAATAGATAGCTCTATGAAAAAATGAACTGCCATTTCAGCTCCAAGGAGATGGGCATAAATTTAATTTGAATTTTAAAGTTAGATTGTACAGTTGTAGGACTACATCCCAGCATAATAAATTTAGTTTAATGGAGAGTATTGAAGTCAAATTGCTCTAAATTGAAAAGGACAATGGGTATCTCTCTTTCGAAGAAAGTGTAAGTAAAAGTTAAAATCAGAAAAAGATACTGAGGATGTTGTAGTAATGATGAAAGCTGTTTTTTTCAGAGAAGATTAAATAGCTTGAGTGAGCCTAAAAATATCTTCCTTTCATTTTAGACAGCTGAAATGAATGAACGATTGCAGAAAATGGGAGAGAGCTCCTTGCGAAATTTCACTATGGACACAGAGATGAGCTTGTACAACTTTGAAGGTGAAGATTACAGAGAAAAACAGAAGGTAATTTTTTGTAGTATTTAAGACTTCAGTTTAAAGGTGCAAACATAAAAGCCATACTATAAATGTTATGACTATGAAGGTTCCTAGATTCTAGAGAAGTAAGGAACCATTGAACAATTCACCTGGCTCTGCCCAAGCATCAATATTTTGAATTTTTGTTAAACTACTTTCAGCCCCACTGTTTTTTTCATGGCAAAATCTGATACCATTGCTCAGATGTTATCCCTTCTGCAAAAAACCACTGAGTTGCATGCTGCTATACTGCTGCAGTATTATTTTGCTGTCACATAACTAAGTGCTGCAGTCAGTATTATTTTGCTTCACATAACTAAGGGGAAAAAACAGGCCTGATAATTTTTGATGTGGATCTTGGACTAGAGTCTGTTTTTGCAGTGAAGGTTTGTCTTAGTTTGAAAGACAAGTGTCTGCTAAGGAAGGCAGGAGCCTCCCTTGGAATGGAAAATGTAAACCCCTTCCCTCTGAATTACTATGATTTGAAATTAAGGGGCTCTCAGGCAAAGGTCTGACAATAGGACTAACAGTTCTTTACTGGTATGTACAACAAGGCAAACAAACCACAGCATTCAAAGGGAACAAAAGGAAAGAAACCTAGCCCCCAACAAGGTTTTAATTTGTACATTGATTTTACCTAGTAATAGAAGGATCATCCATACAAAGAGGTGTTACTCAATCCCACAGTGTTCCCTTTGCATCTCTGCTTTGTACAAGGTGTAGAGTGAAGATATCCTTAAGGTCTTACCTGGAATCAGATGTGTGAATTCTTACTTGTTAACTACAAAATGCCCTTCTAACTCAGGTTTTTATTGATTTTGAAAAAACATTTAGAAAAATAAATTGTTTGATGAGAATATAGTGCAGTGTGTGGATATACACATAAAAATCTTTGTGTTAATGATTCCATTACAGGAAGTGAGTTAAATACTGCATAGTATGAAATAACATTAAGGATTTAGTTAAAATTAATTGATTGCTAGTGGATTTTTTTGACTGTGTTGTAGCCTTTATAGAGGTTATTAATTGTGATATTTAGAGGAGAAGCAATTTATTCATATCTCAAGAAATTAGAGAATTCAGAGCCCAAGTCCTCAGCCCTTCCATTGTGTTTTGGTAGATGGAATCATAACCCTACTCAGGCTTCTGAATTACTTAAACTACTGTAAAAGAATCTCTTCTTGCCACTGCACTGCCTTACTTGTGTATTATCTTTTAAGTGCTTAAATGTTTGTTATAATCAGCTATAATTTCTAGCTGAATTTTGAGCTCTATTGTAGTATCCAAATTATTGAGCACAATCATTAGATTTGCTGTGCAGAAATACATTCCTGTTTTGCAGTGCCATATTAGTCATTATTCTTGTGACTTTAGGGAAGCAAACAGTTACTTGAGTAGTTTTTGTTCTGTTCTGTTCTGTGTGTAGCTGAGCATGATGGAATGGATTGAGCCTCCAAAAAGAGAACGCAAAGCCAATTATGCAGTGGATGCTTATTTCAGAGAGGCCCTACGTGTCAGTGAACCAAAAGTCCCCAAGGTAAGGAGGTGGAAAGTGTGGAAGGGTTTTAGGTGGTTCTTTTGCTCCTCCTCTCCCATGCTGCATCCCTGGCTCTACCCCTGTGTATTTACAAGGTTGCCACTGCTGTTGAATTATGGTAGTTTACTTGCAGGAAAGTTAAGCTTCTGTAATGTTGATTTATCTGTGTATTTTTGAAGGCTCCACGACCTCCAAAACAACCAAATATTCAAGATTTTCAGTTTTTCCCACCACGGTTATTTGAACTTCTGGAAAAAGAAATTCTGTATTACCGTAAAACTATAGGATATAAGGTAATGCATTTTTTTCTTTTCAGATCAGTGAAATGTATTTGCATTCCATTTTGTAAATTTGTTGCAGTCTTGACCTGTCCAGTTATTGTGAAAGAAATGGCTTAAAGCCTCTATTCTTCTGTTTCTGTTCTACTGAGGAGCAAAAAATATAATCTGCCATTCTTTCCTTCACTAAAAATTCTGTATCTGTGTAGCTTTCTGTTTGTGGTGGATTCCTAATGATAACATAGAGTAGAAAAAGGAAAGATAGTTCTGATGCTTCTTATTCTCAAAACCAAAGGTGTGACATGTGGTCTAAGGTGAGAATAATTTGGCTAATATAAAGTCACCTTCCAGAGTATGATATTTTTTGTATATCTTTGTGTTGATATGAAGGTAATTAAAATGACATCAGTTTTCCTTGGATTTGGGTGGGATATAAAGGGTTTAAAGGTGTGGAGAAGTCTGAATGTATTACTTCTACAAAAAGGAAACCAGACAACCCATTTCTGGAATTTCGTTTTTTTTTTTCTTCCTACTTTGCCTTAGCTGAATTCATCCCTTTTCCCTGCTGACATTACTGGACAAACAATGAACAAATTCTGTTATCCTTACTTGGACCAGTATTGATTGAGTCAACCAAATGGATTCTCTACTTCCAACCAGACATGTCTGTAACTTGCTTTAAAAAGCCTCAGGTTTTGTGACAGGTTGCAGCAAGAAAAACAAAAATCACCTAAAAATGTGTTGGAGAACATAAAATTGTCATACAAAGCAACAGATAGAAAATTGGTGAGAGTAGAATTAATATTAGTAAAATGTTTTTTTTAAGAAAAAGCAGAAAGTTTTTTTAGAATTTTGTTTGCAGCCAAAAGAATTTCATGGGGATGTCAGGATAGAATTAAGATGAGTGTGCCATTAGTTTAGAGAAAGAATTTATTCAATTAATGCTCCAACAAAGAAGGATGAGAGAATTGTTAATGTTGACAATATGCATGTGAAAAGAGGTGTTTCAGACCAGTTATGGAAACCTGTCAGCCTGGAAAGTTTGAACATGAATAGTTGTTATCTTAAAAGGTTAGTATGACTGTTTACTGGTGGGGAAGGTGATAAATATAATTAAATTTGTTTTGCTTTGAAATGGAAGTATAACTTCCAATCTGAAGAGAGTTTATGATAAATACTGAAAATGGCCATAAACTGTATCAGAAGATAACCAATAGGCAGAGACCAAGCTTTGTGTCAGTCTTAATTTAAACCAGTAAAGTCAAAAGATTTCTCATTTTTAAAATCAGCTTAACAGTTCTTATCTTCCACTGCCTTTTGCTACAGGAATAAGTAAGGTATACTAAACCTTTACTGGAGACTGGTTTCTGGCTTGTTTGCTGTGGAATTGGAGCACAGTTCAAAGGTCACAAATACTAAATTGGTCAGTGTGGAAGGGACAGATAAAATGTTGCTTGTTCTTGTTTACATCGTGTTGTGTCTCATCCTTGCTTGGGCAGTGTGCATGGCTTTACAGTAAACCTGGCAGAGCTTAGTGTTTCACTATAGTTACAAAACATTGTAAACCAGTGAATGTAGGAAAGCAGATCCTTTGCTGGTGAAAAGTTCCACTGGAATCAGTGAGCTGTGACAGCTCAGCCTCTCACAGCATCCTGAGGTCATTGTGTGCAAGAGTGGTGGGTTCAGGCATAACAAACTTAGAACTCCAAGCCAGTCCTATTTTTGAGAGGAGGGGTTTAAGCAATAAGATCTGAATCTAGGTAGAACACATTTTGTACAGATTACTGCTTTTAAAATGCAGTCTTTGAAATAACATTGCTCCACTACTGCTTTTTGATACCCTTGATTTTAGGTCCCCAGGAATCCTGACCTTCCAAATGCAGCTCAGGTACAAAAGGAGGAACAAAAGAAGATAGATGAGTCTATGCCTCTGAATACTGAGGAAAGTGAAGAGAAAGAAAAGCTTCTAACACAGGTAAAATAAAATGAGCTGAAGTATTTCATCCTATGTTTTTGCTGGTGTGGAATATAAGTAATAGTAAATACACACAGGAAAGCTATGCTGATGTTATTGAAAGAAGAAAGCATAGAAGACATCATGATTTTGATTGGTTTTGCTTTGAGGGACCTTTCCTGTCCTTGAACAAGTTTACATTTTAGTCATCCACTGTTTCCTTGAACATTTCTGAGGCAACAGCTTGTATAGTAGATGTACAACCCAACAATACATGCAGAAATCCAATCAGTGGGTTCCTTGTACATGCATAAAGCTTCTGTGTTGATTTTAAATCAAAAAGGGTTTGAATCAGGAGAAGCCTGTGTCAACATACATGGTGTTTATGCAGGTGTCTAAGGAATATCACATCCATTAATTTTTGTCCCAGTCAAGTTGTTAGGCATGTTCTTTTTATACTGGGGCTGAATTTCTGTCACTGGGACTGAATTTCTGTCTCTGACTAGTTTCGTGACCTTTTGGCTGATTATCCTGCTGAGTGGACTTATTAAAAGCTGATTGTTAAAGAGAAAGGTGTGTTCAAAGTAACAGGACTTTTTGATTCAGAAAATTTTCTGTAGAATAATTGGGGATTGGTGTACCTTGGAAGAAAATTCCAAGGTCACAATTTCACTATTAATTTCACTTATGTATAGCAGAGGAAATATTTCAGCTGGTGCTGATATGCATATCAGTAGTGCTGTTCATGATTAAAAAGAAATAGTTGTATTGTCTATGTTAGACTCATTCTGAGCATGCTAATTGTGGACTGAGCTTATTTAGCTGAACTGACAAAGTTCCTTGTAAATACATTTCTGTGATGAAAGAAACTCAGTGCACTATAGATTATTGCTCTGGCATGTGATTGTCTTGTTTGTTTTTGTCCTTTTCTGCTTTCCCTGTCTTTAAATTGTAATGTCTCTTTCTTGGATAATATTTTTGTGCATTGCATCTCGCTTGTTCAGTTTTGGATTGATTTCTTTGGTACATAACAAATTCTCTCTTTGACAGTGCTTTAGAGTTTCCATTTGATTGCATCTTTTTGGACTAGAGATCTTTTCTTGACATACTTATGCTTTCATCCAGCTTTTTGTCTGGTTCCAGGTTTGTAAATGTCTGAAGTATGAGCTCTTGCTTTAGATACTTGCACTGCTCTAAGAACTTGTGATGACACAGGCATTGCTGCACTTTGTACTGCTCTGAAGTGTGGTGCTTGTATCTGCAGGAGTGCAGCTGTCACTGGGCTTGTTTTTTTGGAGAAGTAGCACAAAAACTTTAAAAAGAAAGGGTAAAAAGCTGGTACTAATGCACGTGGAGTCATGCCAAAAATAACTGTTTAGTTATAGGTTCAGTAATAAGCCCTGGATAACACAAGTTGATGGAAATCCTGAAAGACCATTAGCCACTGTAATTATGTGGTGTTGCAGAGGAGCAAATAGTACATATATAAATCAGAATCTTGGAAAATGCTTCTCTTTGACCTGATAATGCCTTCTTGATCTCTTGTTGCTTACAGGGTTTTACAAACTGGAATAAAAGAGATTTTAACCAGTTTATTAAAGCTAATGAGAAATATGGTCGTGATGATATAGACAATATTGCCCGTGAGGTGGAAGGAAAGTCACCTGAGGAGGTCATTGAGTACTCAGGTTTGTGATATTCTGAAATGTATTTATTTCCTAACACCAGAGTATTACCATGATTTTTGCCACATGTTCTTTTAAAATTAGAAGGTAGAGAATTTGGGTGCATTTAAGAATTTTTTTTCTGTTAAAGTATGCAACATGGGGTTTTTTTTCAGAAGACTAAATTCTATAAAAGGTTGGTTTTGTAGCATATAACTAACACCTGCAGCTGCCTTTAGCCCTCCTTAGTCAAGATTTAGAATTTGACATAGTTAATTCTCACTGACAACATGGAATTGTGAAACTGTGCATTTGCTTTATAGTGCCAACGTGATTCTTTATGCTGTATCTCTGCTATTTTACCTCTTACACTGTATCTTTTTACACAGTGCTTTTGAGATTTCTTCCTCTTTCAGCTTTGGGTGTAATTTTACTAAACACCTTCATAAAATCAACTTTGCAATGTTGTTTCCTGTAGTTAAAAAGGAAGAGCTCCACAAGAGTTCCCTTTAGTGTTGAATTTATTTTACAATTAATTATGTTGCATGTAAATTCTGTTAGAATTTTTACTAAGCTTTTACTTACAGTTAACTTTTAAAGATTCTGAATAAAGAGTCAGTGCAAGCTTAATTTTTGGCTAGCACAGTAAGCTGGAGAGCATTAGCTCATTTAAGATTAATGGAACCACAAGCTAAATTCTTTTTTTTTTTTTTTTTTGCCAGAGTATCTTAACAGTAAAGTCATAAGAACAGAGGAAAATATTATATTGAACAATTTTGTTTTGTGTTTTTAGCTGTTTTCTGGGAACGTTGTAATGAACTACAGGACATTGAGAGGATTATGGCTCAGATTGAACGAGGAGAGGCCAGAATTCAACGCAGGATCAGCATCAAGAAAGCCCTTGATGCCAAAGTAATTATTCCAGGTTTTTTGTTTTCTGCAGCTGACTTCTTCCAAAAATTCCTTCAGAAAAGGAATAATTGGGGATGAGAGTTCTGTCTTTTTATGCAGCATAGGTGGTATACCATCTCTACAGTATCATGTAATGATTCCTTGATGTAGCATTGTACGTTTATTAATCCTTATTTTTGTTTTGCATTCAGATTGCAAGGTACAAAGCACCTTTTCATCAGCTGCGTATTCAGTATGGAACAAACAAAGGGAAGAATTACACAGAAGAAGAAGACAGGTTTTTGATCTGCATGTTACACAAGATGGGCTTCGACAAGGAGAACGTGTACGAGGAGCTGCGGCAGTGCGTGCGCAACGCTCCTCAGTTCAGGTTCGACTGGTTCATCAAATCCAGAACTGCCATGGTAGGTACCACTCACAGGGACCAGGCCTCACATGAGCCATCTTGTTCTTTTTTTAAGCACCACCACATCAAATTTGTTTTAAACAAGTGCTGAAAGAATAACTTGGGGTTTATTTTCATTGCTGTTTTTTTAATAGTAACCTTTTGTCTTAGTACAGAAAAAAATGCAATGCAGCTGAAACATAGATTAGAAAACCTGCCAGGCTGAAGTCCCATGTTACCCAAAGGCATTAAGGCAGAGGTAGACTAGACTTACAAATATCCTTGTTACATTTATTGCAAACTGAGTGTTTTACCAAACAATGTCTCTTAAAATATGACTCTTTTAGAGTTTTTGCATAACATTAAAGACTGAAGACATCTGAATAATATACTTGGAGAAGGGAGCAGCTTTCCTAATGCAGTATTTAATTTCTAACAGCATGAGGAAAGTTAGTGATTCACATAGAAATTAATCATTGAAGCAATAGGTTTAAAATGCACTTTGTAGTTTGTGAGTGTGGATTATCCCATGAAAATGCTTACATTTCTTGAGGTATACTTTACTGACAATTTTGTTTGAATTTAGACAATATAATACGAGGTTAATGGCAAGTAGTCTAGTACTCAGAATTTTAGAGCAGAGCCATTCATTTTTAATTGAGTTATTAAGCAGGAATTGATAACACTAACAGAAGCTTTGGTGGTTGCAAATATTAAGGTATGTAGGTACCAACATCAGAATATGGGACTCTTTCAATGATAAAAAGCTGTTGGATCTGCCCCAAAATTTTTGCTCAATTCTTTCTACTTGTTGTTTGCCTTGATTTGCTGACCTCAGGATTTGTTTGTCTGAAAGAATGTTCTTTCAGAGTTCTGGGTACTGTACTAAGAATAAATAAAACATAAAATAAAATATTTAAAATATGTATTTGAATAGGTGGCTATATTTGCTTTTCCCAGTACTACTTATAATTATGCAATACACTTTTTACTTGATATTTCAGCAATTGAAGTGTTTCTGGATAGTGCAGCAGTTAGCCCTTAACTAAAAAGAATTTTAAGTGTTTCTTACTAAAATGTCTGTTTGAAGAAATACTGCATTTTAAAATGATGTCTATAAAGAGAGAAGCCTGCAGTATTTAGCACATTAAGAAGTTTCTTTAAGTTGTCAGTGCAGGAATCCATTTAAATAAATCACAGAAATGGGTACTAGAAATTAAAAATGTAGCTCAGCGTTTAATATTAGTTGATATATAGTTGTCAGGGGTAGAGTTAAATGTTTAGTTTAAGTCTTGCAGATCCTTATGTTCAGTATACTTTTTTTTTTTTAAAGGGGATAGAAATCATTTGCTCAAGTGTAGAAATATGTTCTGTGGTGTCTTAATGTTGAAACTGAGACACTGGGAATATAGTGAATCTTTTGGCTTAGGTTTTCTTTTAAAATTCTCTCCCTTAATAATTTTAGTTTTTCTGCTACTATATGGTTGAAAAAGATTATGGAAATACAAACTTAAACCCATCTTTCACTTTCAGTGTGCATTTAATTTTCTGAAATGTTCTGAATTATCATGCTCTGTGTGGTGTAGTAATATAGCTGATATAATCTATTGTCTTGAGATTTGTGGAAGTCTTATTTCTATGGGTCCATTTTGCACTGGTTTGGTGATTTTTTTTTTTTGTGAACAAATGTGCTGGAAAATCACATGACAGTAATAATGAATGGAGTATAAATACAAATATTTATAGAGGAGTAAATAAGTGAAAGTGGAGAAGGCTTCCTGAAATGCTGAAATTCACATGTGGTCATTTAAACTCATACGAAACAAGATAAAAAGGGCAGCATAATTCAGAAAAGGGTTTAACAGGCTCTTTGAGAAAGCTTTGTGTTCTAGCCACTAGATGTCTCTTGAATTCCACATAAATAGCTAATTTATCTTCCATCTTACTATTTCTGTTTGTTCTCCTGAAGATTTCGAAAAGCAAATCCTGCTTCATTAAATTATTTCAAAATCAAATGGTGTACCCAAAATGTAAATTCTTAAAGATACCACGAGTGCCTAAGATTGTAATTTTTTTTTGCTTTCTGTATTGAGCACAGATTTGTTTGTTTGGTTTTTAAAAAAATTTCTGTCCATGCAGGAAGAATGCAAAATATCATGGCAGTAGTGAAGCATGTATCTGTTCTCTCAAGTCATAAATTATGGATATTCTCTTTTAGCTTTCTGCAAACACTCCCCAGCATAAGAGAAATGACTTCTTAGTAAATACAGGAATGCCCAGGCCTGTGGACAGAGCTGAGGGAGCCCTTGCTCCCAAGTCAACATCTCTGCCTCCAGCCATGCACAAGGCAATGGTTCAGTGCTCCCATCTTATTTATTGCAATCCAGGTCCTTAGAGCTGTGAGGGGGTGAACAAAGTCTATCTTCTTTCTTTCCATCCAAAAGAGAAAAGTATCAAGCCACACAGAATAAAAAGTCATCTCTGAAAGTGCAAGGCATTTTAAATAAGTGTACTAGAATGGAATGCAGCAGTCCATATTGAAATTTCAATAGCTTAGTGCAGAGTTTTTCACTCAGATTATTTTCATGGTAGATGTACAAGAAACCTGTGTGCATGTCACATCTTGCTGTCAACTGATACTGTGATTCTCCAGAGAAAATTGTTTTTGAGTCCATCCTCTGTCCACAGCAGATGCTTTGGAGCAGTAGTCCATCTGGAAAGTCTAATCATGAACCTGAAACACTTTATAAATGTATATATTTATGCAAGCATTTGTCCCCAGGAAAGAGGAAGATCTGTGAGTGCTTTAGGCAAGTGGATCAAGGTTATTTCTTAGTCCTTTCAGATTAGTTGCTTGTTTTGAGTTTAACACAATCCCATTTCTCATATGCTAGAAAAAAATCCAAATGATGATGTCACCACTCTTTACCTCAGCTCCTAAGTCTGAGTGCAATATTCACAAATTTAAATGATGTAAAACACTTGTGGCATGTTGACAGTCATTGTTCTGTTTTGGTCTTTTTTCATCTCTGTTCATCTGTAGAGGGTAGCTTTTAGGGACAGAGGCTCTCTTTTGTTCTGTTTGAGGTTGCAGTGTATATTGGGATGGCTTGAACTCAAGTTTGCTCAGTTGTTGCTTTTTTATCTAAACGTTGTTGTTTGGGTGGAATTTGAGGGAGTTTAAAGATTGAAGTGAGAGTATTTTAGCTCCAGAAGGACTGTCACAGAGCAGGGCACAAGCATGGCACCCTAATTCATGGTTTCACCTTTACTGGAGGGAGTGGGGTTATTGCTCCAGGGATGTGATAAAAATCACTTATTACAGTACTCTGTGGTGAAGCTACAAGCATGACACTGGAACATTTCTGGAGGGGACTTGTAAAGAAAAATGTCCTGAGGATTTTTATGTGTGTGTGTCTGATAAAAAGAATTCAAGTGGTGGTAGGATTCTCTGTGTCCATTCTGAACTACATGGCTTTTGCCCAAGGCCATGGAGCGTCCTTTGTAGAGGAATCTGTGGAAACTGTAGAACTTTAGACTGGTTAAGCTTGAGGGTTTGAATGTCTCAAAGATGAGTCCCATGCCTGCCTGTTTGGGAAGGTTCAGATCAGGAAAGCACCAAGGCTGTCATATCCATGATGGCTGAAGGAACATCCAGCTTACAGATGCTGAGAAGATAGAGACTAATTTCTGGACAAAAAGGTCACCTGTTCCCTTCACTGCAAATGGACCCATTGTAGGTTAAGATACATGCTACTAGGTAATTCTAGGGTAGCCTATGTTTCAAGAATGCTTCACTGAGTTTAGCAGAGATTAGACATATTTTTTGGGCTTTTTTTTTCCTCAGAAGAGAGCTTCCTGCTTTGAGTTGGAAAGAAAAACCCATGCAATCCTGTTCTCAATAATACATAGAATATACTGAATAATTATAATAAAAATAGGTACTGTTAGGTGTTTTGTAAGAGATCTTTTAAATGGGGTACAAGAAACTGTCCAAGTCAAGTGAGTTCTATTAAGCAAGCCAGCCATTAGTAACTGCAATGCAGATATTTTGAGTTGTATTGGAAATACTTCTTAATGTGTAAACAACCTGATGGCATTTAGTCCTGATGGCTTGCCAGTGTTGATGCTAAAAGCATTTAGAGCATTTAGGACCTGTTTGAATAAAAACACAACAGTGAGTTTACAATTTAAGACTGAATAGATTTTTGGCCAATTTGCAGCTCTACTTTTTGTCTCTTCACAAAAAACCTCCCTAGGCTGTGTGCCACAGAAAAGTGTTGCTTAAGATAGCTTTGCTCCCTTTTTTCTCTGCTTTAAAGATATATTTGAAGACCTCTTTCCTAAAATCTGGCATACTGTGCTGGTAGGCTGTAATTTGCTTCATTAACCAAGATGAAAGATCACATCAGTCTTTGGAATGTCAGTTTGGAAGACAGAATCCTGAAAACTCCTTGTCAGGAGGACAGTAAATCCTTTCCTGTTTCTAAAGGTTACACTGAGGGAAAGACAGATAATAGTAACCAAGCTAATGATCAGTATTATTGAATACTTGGGGAAAATGTAAGTGCTTTGAAGTTAAAGGATTATGAACATAGTTATGTAAGCAAGAGAAGTTGTATAATTTGCTTAAAAATTTGATGTGTTCTCTTTCCTTAGGAGTTTCAGAGACGCTGCAATACTCTCATATCATTAATAGAAAAAGAAAATATGGAAATTGAGGAAAAAGAAAGAGCTGAAAAGAAGAAAAGAGGAGCAAAAGTTACAGCGGTATGTTTAGCAGCACTTACTTTACTTCCAGTGGGGTAGAATTCAATTATGTATTTTTTAAAAAATGTAAAAGATAATTGTAGGCAGTGATTGTGTTAGTAGAAACCATGAGGTGAGAGATTAAACTGAAATATTTGTCTATTCACAGCTCTCCTAGATTTGCTTAGGTAGGTATTCCCAATGCATAGGATTTGAGGGCTTTTTTTTTTTTTGAGAAGTCTTTTGTTTAAGTAGCAGAGGAAGACTTTTTTTAGAAAGTTGCACTGCCTACTTTCTGCCTACTTTCGTACATCATGTGTGGCTTCAGTTTCTTCTCAGAGATTTTTTCCTCCCCTACATAGCAGTTGCTGGAAGAAGAAATGAAAGTGCTTTTTTTATTTTGAAGGGTTGTCATCTTTAGAGCAGAATTGTGTATAAGTCAAGGTCCTGATCTTTTTATCCAATTCAGGGTATGTGTGGTGCCTGCACCACTGAGACCATGTAATGATTTTAAGGATATAAAAAGTGTAGGAGAATTAAGTGTCTATGTCAGGGATTAATGTTTGCCTTTCCATTATATCCTACAAAAATGAACTGAAATCCAGAATGCATTGGGGTTGTACATTCCCTCCTGAATAATCAGTTATGTATTTAAGTTTTTTGTTTGTAATGCCACTATCTTGTAAAATTTATATTTACTTTTTCTCTTTAGTCACAGAAGAGAAAAGCAGATTTGGCTGCTGAGAACTCTGGAAAAAAAGATGCTAAGAAAGTGAAGTCGTGAACCTGAAAACTGAATGCTAAATATGAAACTGCCACTTTCTTCACTCCATCTATGTGTATTAATTGCCAACTTCTTTGTATTCATGGTACTCTTCCCCAAGTCCCATGCTTTAATTTTGCAAATTTTGTATCCTTTACGACGCCTTTCTTTACCTAAAATGTGTAGCTTTATATCTTACGCATTCCAGTATTTTTGTGTACTGTATTTTGTGAGTTCCATGTCTTTGGCAAAATTCACTCAGTCCTTGGTTTTTTGAAGCTTGTGCTGAGGTTTTAGCTTTTATATGTTTTATATGCTGCTGCTTTGAAAAAAACCCTAGATTCTATAGCTGTATTATTGTTGTTTCATATTTTAAATTTATATGGCTGTTGGAAAATAAACTGACTTAATTATTTGAAGAGAAATATACTTCACCTTTGTTTTCCCTGTCCTCTCTCCCTTTTTTGCATAGCTGCATTTAGAGAGAATGTTAAGGTTTGTATAATTGTGCCTTCATCATCAATCAGATTTTTTTCAGAGGAGTACTAGACAGGATCAGGAGCATGACAGAACAAAATCTAATTAGACTGACATCCTTGTTTGCTCTCTGCATTAAATGGACATTTTCTCTGAAATGTTCAGAAGGAAACCCAGCAAATACACACTTTTTGTTTTGCTTTATCAGTGATTTCTGCTGGGCTACATGCTTAAACACAGGGTGAGGTGTTTCTCACAATGGCCTCTAGATGAAAACTTTTCTATGCCTGATAAAAGGAAGTAGTCAGCTCACAGCTTCTGGTTGTTTAAGTAGCAAACAAAATAGTTCACTCTCTGGTTGGTAGGCTCCTCAGCTCTGCTGCCCTGTGCTGAAAGATCTTCGTTGCTCTAATTATCTCTGCGAAAGTTCTTCTTTTACCTTTTATTCAACATGTCAGTCAGAAGCAATGGGGATATGTTATGGAGTGCTCCTTTTTAGTATTTCTATTTTAATGAAGGGATGAAAGTGTTGGATGTATGATTTTTTGACTTTGCAAGAATGGCCTTTATTAAGCAGGTTCACAGTTCCTGCTCACTTTGGAGTCTGCCTTTCCCAGATCAGTAGAACAGTGGCTGTGACATCTGATGTTTTACTTTAATGTTCTGTCTCTGATCTGGTGTTTAGTACAGACCTTGCTACAGTGAGACATGCCCTCATAATGTCAGGTCTAGATTAATGCAGTGTGCTTTACATGGTACTTCCCTTGAAGACTACTTGTAAACTTCTTCTAGTGCAGTTTGCTTCCTTCAGTGGTTTGAGGTGTTTTTAGATAAAGAAACCTCTTTACTCTTTGTATTTTGTGCTTTGCATTGGCTACCTTCTTCTGTGTTTGTAAAACGTAGGACTTTATAAAATAAAGTTCTCGAGCTCTGCCCACATTCTTCTATGTCATTTAAAATATATTGGTATGTCTTTGAAGTTTTCTGGGATTTGTATCTCTAAGTTTGATGAGGTATTTCCAGCTTTTTTGTAGTGTCTGTTAAAGGTTTGGGGCAAAATGGGTGTGATGATTGGTTGAGCATTTCAAAAGATAATTCAAAATATTAGATTCTGTATTTTGGAATGTAGCCTTTGTCCAGGGACCACATTAATTATTTCACTGGGCTTATATTTGTAAAACTTGGTATTTGTCTGTTGAACTTCATCTGATGAGTTGAGAGGTACATCTGATAATGCTGGGGCACAACTTCCAGGCAGGAGATTGGTCATAGGAGTCAGAGCCTGCTCTTAAATGAGTGTGCAGCCCAGGTGGGATAGGTGTGCTCAGGAAGGGGCACGTGTCCTCAGAATGTGCAATTAAATGAGTGTGCAGCCCAGGTGGGATAGGTGTGCTCAGGAACAGGCATGTGTCCTCAGAATGTGCAATTAAATGAGTGTGCAGCCCAGGTGGGATAGGTGTGCTCAGGAAGGGGCATGTGTCCTCAGAATGTGCAATTGGAGCAGTTAACATCCTGCTTTATCCTTGGGAGGAGGATGTCCCATGTCATTATGGAAAGGCTGTGCAGCTACATGCATATGTAACCACAAATCCTGGGAGATTGCTATGAATAGAGAGAGGAAGATGCCTTATTTGCATTTGAATTTTGGCTCATGTGCCACTCACTAAGTTTATGGCCTGAAATGATAAAAACAAGTTAAAAGACACGGGGAATAAAGGCTGAAAGAGCCAATTGAAATGTTTATGGAATTACATGGCTAGGTCTAGAGCTTATTCTATTGGTCCTATTTAGCATTGGATGAATATTTTAATGTTTTAAGTCTTGAAATAAGTGTATTCTGGTTTTGTTTATTGTAGATTAGCTTTGTTTGACTTGCACGTTTTTTGTGTATCCAGTTTCTCTGTGTTGCAAAGTGTATGGAAAGTCTTAAAATGTGGTAATATCTCAACATGTTGTTTTATGCAGATTTTTTGGTTTGAGTTACCACTTGAGTTAATGTTCTTTCTTCTCAATGACTTGATACACAAACCATATAGCAAAAGATCATGCAATGGTTCTTTCAGGTTCTTTCACCCCTTGATCAGACAGCTGCTCTGAAGAATGATAGATTCTCCCAGGAGCTGTTACCTCTTGCAGTCTGTAGTCCCAGTTAAACTGAATGTGCTGTTGAACAACAGTCCTTGAGAGCATTTGGACACTGTACACCAGTTCCTAGCAGATTGAGCCTTCCCATCCATCATGTCCTACAGTGATAACTAAAGAAAATTGCTAACAGCTGCTGGTTGGGATTAAAGGAAAATGGATCTTTCTTTTCCCTTTTTCATTCTTCCAGTTGCCAATACCCACACAGTGTGTGCCTAGCAGTATCTTAAATTATATGCTGCTGTGACTCAAAATTAGGTGACAGAAATGAAAGAATCTTTCTACTTTTAACTGCTATTTTCTTAGACGAGGAATACTGTTTGTAAGAAATTAGTAAGTGCTGAATGTAATGTGACAGAAAACTTCTGAAAAGTTTGAGCCTTTAGGCAATTTTAGAGTTGCCAAAAATGCTGCAAGATAAAACATTTTGAAAGCTAGTTTAGTTCCTTTTCAGTGGACAAGTAAAATTTGTGTACACATCAGGCTTGAAGAAAGTCACCTAGCACCTTTGACTCCCCAGCAGTGCACATAACATCCTGGGAGAGGTCACAGCAATTGTGGTGGTTTCCTTTTCACATATTCATAATTTCCAACTTATTAGTCCTTTTGTTTTTGATTTATGTTAGTGATGACACCAAAAAACTAATGCTGCTAGCCACCTTCATTGTATTTAATTTCAGTTTGTTACAATAACACAGAGAAGAAATGAACTGTCTTCTTGCTGGTAATATTAGACCATCTTTAGATGCTGGTTTGCACAAGTGGTGTTACTATACTAAAATATTACGTAAATTTTTTTTCTTGTAGATTAGCATTGCTGTTTGATTTAGTGCTAATGTTGGTTAGGGTTTAAAAAAAAAGCAGCTATCACTCTTTGAGATGATGAGCAAGGAGTATACAGAAATTAATCAGAATCTTTCTAAGTGCCTGATGGTGTTGTCAAGCTGATTTTAGCTTTTATATATGCATATATATTTGTGGCTTTGTAGCTATATGGAGGATATATAAAAGCAAAAGTTATTTTGGCATCAATGGAAGTAACTTTGTTATGCAGTGCCTGTGTGCTGCTGTGTTACAGGCACTCTGTACATGCCTCCTGCCCATGTTCACTAGGGGGATTAAGTACTTTCAGTGATGAGGAACAAATGCCAAAGCACAGGTTGAAAAAAGGTGGAGTTTTGCAGTCAGTACCAGTTTATGTGAATGCAAAATGATGAGGTTGGTGCACACATGGGCACTTGTGATGCTGGAAGGGATTGATCACCAACTGTAGTTCTGATCTGACTAAAGAGAGGTTGACAATTGTTACATTTCGCTTAATTTTATCTGGTTCACACATACTCCAAGCATGTATGTAAATATGTTTGTGGCTCATAGTTCTAATGTTTGATATGTTCTTTTTCTGAAAGACTTAAAGTTGAACTTAGTTTGCATATTTTGAAATGTACTCTTTAATTGTATTTGCATGGTATCCATCCTTTCATGAGAGCCTTAATAGGAGTAATATTTGCTGCCTCAAAGGTATGTCAGTGTCGTGTTGTTCAAGATGACTTCTGAACTTTTTCAATCTGGGATTTGTTTCTTAAGTTGTACATACATGGAAATAAAAGTTAATATGAACCTGATGTCTTCTGGTCGTTCTGGTACACAGGGCTCTGGTCCTTAGATACTTCCAAGATAGTTTGATTTGGTTTTGTTGCTCTTGTGCCTCCCATACCCTTCAGGCCATGGTGGCTGAATGTAAGGGGGTGTGTGGCTGTTCCACATCTGCTTTCAAATATTTTTTTGTAATCTAAAACTATACTAGTAGTGCCTATGTTTTTGTGACAGCCTTGCTGTGTTGTCTCTTAGTACAGTGTTACACAATGTATGTTGATCCTATATTAAAGTGTATTGCTGGTTCCCTTTTCTTTCATCCCTCTGGTGTGTTCATAAAATGAAATACTCTGGAGTTTAAGTCCAGCTGACACAATGGTAGGAACCATGAATTTTCTTGCAGTTGTTGATCACAAGCAAGTTGTAGCCTTGGTAGATACTGTGCTTGGGGAGGTGCATGCCCTAAATGATTGCTCAGTTCTTTTCCTCAGGATAACCTAAAAAAAAAAGGACAGACTGGAGGACCAGTTTCTCTGGTTTTGGCTGGTAGCAGTTCTGTCTGCTCCACAGTGAACTTTTGATAGACCTCAGTCTTTTTCAGGTGAGGTACCTAGACTGGGATGGAGGAGCTGGGAAAAGATGTGTGGTTCCACCTTACCTGGTCCTCAGTAACAGCCTAAACAATTTTTGGGTTCACTCAAGAGCTATAGTTGTTTCAGATGGCTTTGCTCTCTGCAGATAGCAAGACAAGAGGTTGCCAGTTGTTGTTACAACCTGCTTTAAGTCCTGGCTGGTGTTGGGGTGGAAGGGGATGAAGTCAGGAGCAGGAAGATGCACAGGTATGGGATGTGCTCTTAGCTGGGACTAAGCCTTTGCTTCTAGGCCTTATTTCAAGTCTTGCTGCGTCAGTTAACATCATGGGTATTTTCATGCTGTCATGGCTCCTTGGAAAGCTGTCCAGACTAACAGATGGGGTGCTTTGGCACAGTGCCCCATCCCTGTGCAAGCTCTGCTCTCACAGCAGGCTCCCCATCCAACATTTGAAATGGGGAGCAAAAAGGCTGAATCCTGGAAAAAATTGGCTGTGCTGGGCAGGGGTGAGAGCTGGGCTGGGAAAATCTGTGTGTAATTAACTGTAGATTGATGGCTAAATCTGTCTATTTTTATTGCTAGTAAATGGAAATTGAAGGTACAGCCACTGTAACTTGCTGCTGACTGAGGGGAGGTCGGCAGGCACTGGAGCTGTCCCTGTGTCTCACTGCTGCCTGGGCTTTGCTCCTCTGCCTTTCCTCCAGCAGCACTCCCCTGTTGTTACCCGTTCGGACCCCAGGTGGTGGTGTTGGATCTGAAAGGAGGGAATGTGGAGCTGGAGAAGCTCCAGGCTCTGAGAGCAAGGCCAGTGGTGTGGCAGTTCTGAGGAGCTCCGTGCAATTCCTCCCTTGCTGTGTTGACAGGGCTGCAGTGCAGCTGTCTCCTCAGAGCTGCCATTCCTTTCCAAACACACACACAAACTGCCTGGCTGGCTGCTTAGTTGCCATCTAAGAGGTGATTTGAGGAGGTTTTCCCATCCAGAAGTTGCATCATGTTCAACTTACAAGGCCTCTCTCAAAGTTTAAGCTGAGCTATCGCCAATGGGGCACTCGGTGTGGTGCTCAGAGCCAGCCTGCACGGTCTGTGTTGGCTTTGTGTTAGAGCCCATTCAGTGGCTGCTTGAAGGCAGGCATGTCTGCACCACAAAAGCAGGACTTTTCTTCAGGGACTTGAAATTATGTCACTGTAATTAAAAAAAAAAAAAACAAACCAAAAACCCCTACTCTTTCAAAGTGTGTCAGCCTTAATTTATGGCTCCTATACATACATATCTCTGAAATAATTTTACTTATTTATGTTACAAAGGGTTGATTAATGTTACGTGACTGAACATGTGGAAGAGGTACAAGAAATTTCTTTTTCTTAAGTGTCAGCCTTGGAGACTCAGCATTTTCTTTCAATATTCAAAAAGAAATTTAATTTTAGCTTTTTGTGATACTCACTGGTAATTAACTGCTCCATGTACTGCATCTTATTATGCTATGGGCCTGAAGATTTTCTGTTGGAAACGAAAATCGATTTCAACAAATTCAGTTGTTGCTATCTTATTAGGTTATGGTGCTCAATGTAAATTAAAGTTTTGAATTTGTCATCGATCAATAGATGCAATT